CACCAAACTGGCCTAGATGTGCAAGCTTTCGTTTTTATTTTTATATAAACCTGTCAGTAAGCGGCTTTTGCTTGAGACAGGTATCCAAAAAAATGTGCAGGTTAGTTGATATGTCTTGGGTTTTAATGCTTGGCATTGTTCTCAGTTATTCTAGGTATCAGCAGGATCTCCTATTTTTAAAAACTATTCAACAGAGTAATATCACATGATATCTTCACTTATTTCTGACTTGCTCTCTCAAAGCAGGGCTCTCTTTCATCACCCTATCAGGAGGGCTTCACGCGGTACCTGGCATACTAGGCACATTCCTGATGTTGATAAATCCACACCTAAAATTACCTGCTTTAATATATACCAGTAAGATTCCTCTGCTTTCGTTTAAAAACAAGCAACACTTGTACATTAGTAAAGACAACGGACTTAATGGGACGCGTGTCTTGTGTCTTTCTGGGACTGCCTCATTGGGTTACTCGGTGAATGGGCATTAGTGCCTGTAGTGAGAGAGCGGGATGCCGCAGGGAATGCAGAATGCACCGTGTTGTGAGTGGATCCAGTGTGTTTGACAGCGAGACCTGAAGGGAATTCACGACTGTGATGTCTTGTAGTGTTTGTGCCATTTACCGTCTGTCCCTAGGATTTTGATAAAGGCTATTTTCTTCTCATAGATTCAGAGTATAATTCTTTTAGAAGTATGTTGTTTGGATGATGGAGATTCGATTTTAACTGCTTGGGATTATCTCTGTTTTCTTGTTGGTTACTATTTTCTTAATATTTCTCTCGAAATTCTGTCTCATTGTGTTTAATTTCTGCAGCCTAAGAAAAACCGAAGTATAGCTTTCCCAGGGAACTGTGTTATGCTGCCCCCACCAGGCCGTTTTTCGTATCTGCTGTTAGAGGATTATTACCAAGGAGAATGCTCTCTCCTAGTTTCCTTGAGTGTGTGGAGTTCAGACTTAAAAATTGTCACTTGCAAATTGTAGTTTTAAGTGTAGTTAGTATAGCTTAAAAATGAAATTCTTCAGAGGGTCTCTATCCAAGTGCTGATACCTATAGTTGAAATTTGTTACTTAGAACTCAAGAGTTTTTTGAAGGGATGGTATTGAAAAAGTTATCCAGCCCAAGGAAAGAAAAGTTAATTTGCTACTGGCACTATAATTCACCATTACCCCTAGCTGTCTTCTACAGTTTTTACTAAACATATAGTATGTGTATAGGCACTGCCAGAGATAAAAGCAGAATAAAGCATGGTTCTTAACCACCAGGAGTTTACAGACTAGTTTGAGAAACAGGGTACATGCACTCATCCAAAAAAATCAAAGTAAGAAATGTAATAGATTAAGCGGTTAAATTCCAAATTAATAGTCTCTAATGTCTGTAAGTTGCCGAAGATATTGTTATGATGCCTAGAGGAACTGAGCGTGCTTGGCCCTGTTCTCTCACAAGCCACTCTTGGGGTTTCTTGTAATGTATTTTGACCATGCTAGGTTTCCAAGAGGTACAGCAAGCAGTAAGGGGATTCTAGTCCATTGTACGTGTCTTTATTACCAGACAATGTCTGCTTGGAGTCATAGAATCTTCAAGGTGGAAGGAACTTCAGAAATCAATGGCTCAGCCTTTCACCGGAAGGAAGCGCAGCCTGGGCAGGGCGAAAGGCGAATGCGAATGGTGGCTTTTTGGTAGTGGCATTTAAACACAAGACAAAAGCACTTCTTTTGATTGGTTTTGTTTTGGGGAGAAATTCTTGGGGAGTGGATTTTCCTTTTTGTTATCAGCTACAACTTATGTTGTCATATCAGTATCTTAGACTTAACATAGAGATGGGTTGGCAAGAAGGGATTTCTCTGTGAGGATTGTCTATAATTCTGGGTATACCAGCAGCCTTATCACTGAGACAAAAGGCAAGAACCTAAAACCCAGGCTATGCGTACCAAACAAACGTGAACTAATGCCTAGTACGTATTTGGCAGTGACTAATTAGGGCTTGTATTCTAGTGTTTCTGTTGATTCTGCAGTATCGGATGATTTGTGCCTGCTTGAATTCCTTCAGTGATGCCCGTTGTGGGCCTCAGGAACTTATTTCATTGCTGGGCAGTTCTGTTTCTCAATCCTTACGTTGAGCCAGATCTATGATAGAGCGTCCTGCCTGTGTTCACCTTGTCAGGAATGTCCTGGAAAAGGTCATTCCTTTGTCTTGTCTTGGCTTAACTCCAGTCACTTGAAGTCTTCTTATGGCATGATATCTAGATCTTTTTAATGTAATGTTTTAAAATTTAAATCTGATTCTGACACTTCTTGTTTCAAATCAGTCCTTCAGTGGTTTTCGTTGTTAATCCTCACCAAGACACATTTTTTTCCATTGATTTTTTTTTTTTTTTCTTGAGTGGAAAGGAGGGGGGACAGAAACATCCATGCGAGAAAAACACGTGGGTTACTTGCCTCCACATGCACCCTCACTGCTCGGGGTCAAACCTGCATCCCAGGTATGTGCCCTTGACCAGAAATTGAACCCAAGACCTTCCGTGCGTGGGGTGATGCTCTAACCACTGAGCAACACCGTCAGAGCAATTCCAGCCCTATCTCTCCCCCCAAGTTTGCCCCTGTTCTCTTCATTCTTGTCATGTGCTATATTATGCTCTTGTCAGAAAAGTGCTAATAGCCCTGTCCAGTGTGGCTCAGTTGGTTGGGCATTCTCCTGTGCACTGAGAAGTCGTCAGTTCAATTCCTGGTTGTTCAGGGCACATGCCCATGTTGCGGGCTTGATCGCCAGTAGGGGGCCAAGCAGGAGGCAGCCAGTTGATCTCATGGATGTTTCTCTCCCTTTCCATTCCTCTCTTAAAATCAAAACATTAAAAAACTTTATGCTAATAGGCCATGCTACACTGTCCTGGGCCAGCCAAACTATTTGTTGACTTTTATTTTTACTCTTTCATTTTGGATTCTAGAGAAGTCTTCACCCATCATGGATGTCGGAAACTAATACCAGTGTGGGTGTTGCAAAAGTGTGAAGGAAGTGCCATGCTGAACATTTAAGGTGCCAAGTATTAGGGAGTTGAGGTCCTTGAAGCAGCTGATTGAAGAAACCAGGTTAAAGTCAGCAGCCGTCAGATAGGATTCCTGGAAGACAGAATTTGACATAAAGAAGTATCAGAAACCTAAGTGTAACAGCAGAATGAACGAGACCATGGCAGAATAGGATTTAAGAACAAACCTGAAATTCCAAGTATTTTGCCTGAGGTTTAGGAGCTACCTGCCCAGCTTGATCTCTAGTTAATATTTTATCAAGCCTTAAAAATACATGCATCTCTGACAAATTGACCCCAAAGGAACTGAAGGTCTTAGGCACTTTTGTCTTACTTAGAATGTGAGAGTGAAAATGTTCCCGCTGGGGATGGGGCAGAAAGCAACTGTATTCAAACAGTGACACTGTTTCAAATGAATAACCTATTTTCAACTGTGGATACTTTTATAGATACTCGGAAGCATGATTACTCTGTAGTGTTGATTACAGTGTAGTTATTTTTGACTTGTTGAGTTGTTTTGCTAAGTTTTAATCTTCATTTATGCAGTCAAAAATGATCTGTTGGCACAGCAGCTCAAATTTGGGTGACAAATAATGGCTCTCAAGCAGCTTTAAAGGTTGCAGAAAGGAGCCCTGTTGTTGAGACAAGTTCAAACCCAAGTCCCATTAAGTTAAATCTAATAATAGTTGAAATTAGGTTAATATAATTTGATTTCCTACCATGGTTTTATTTTGTTATGCACTGTAGTCCTAGGGCATTTTGGGATCTTGATAACTTTCCACCAGGATGCTATCCTTTCTATGTTATCAGCTGTGAATATCTACTTGCAGGGAATCTTTCAGTAGGACCTTCCACATTTTAATTGGGGGCAGCATTTTTTTTTTTCTTTATTTTTAGAGAGGAAGGGAAGAGTGATAGAGATCTGATCTGCCTCCTGCACACCCCCTACTGGAGACTGAGCCCACAACCCAGGCACGTGCCCTGACCAGGAATCTAATCGGCGACCTCTTAGTTCAAGGGTCGGTGCTCAACCACTGAGCCACACTGGCTGGACAGGGCAGCTTTCTTCAGGGCTCCTTAGGTGAATTTATTTTCTACGTGTCATTCCAATTAGTGGGCAAGTAGAATATGCTTACTGATATTCTACCTACACCCAGGAAAGAGGCACTTTTTCCTTATGCTGTACCAGCCCTATTGAGGTGCATAATTGGGGAGGTGTGGCCTGCCAAAGTTAAATCTACATGTACCTGCTGAAGAGAAAGACTAGCCCAGCCAGCGTGGCTCAGTGGTTGAGCATCGACCTACAAACCAGGAGATTGCGGTTCGATTCCTGATCAGAGCACATGCCCTGGGTTGCAGCGTCCGTGGGGTTTGGGGCGTGCAGGAGGCAGCCAATCAGTGACTATTTTGTCATTGATGATTCTCTCCCTTCCTCTCTCTGAAATCAATTAAGAAAACAGACTAAAGAAAAACAAATCCTAACAAGTCAGTGATGGATAAGGGGCGTGTGTGTGGTTTTGGTTCTACTCACTTTTCAGGATTAAAATAAAACCCTTACCACTTCCCTGATCCACAGTGGTTTAGAGAAATGCAGATTGCTGCTTGCCTCAGCCCCCTCCCGGCCCCCACCCGCAGTTACAGATTGGGTCTGAGGTAAGTTCAAAGTGTGCCTTTCTAGCAAATCCCCATGTGCTACTGGCCCTGTTCCACTGGGGAAGCACTGAGTCATGCTCTGACGCTGGGTTTGGAAGCTGCTAGATAGGTAATACCTGTGCCCCTTCACTGCGCGGGGGGCAGTCTACTGAACAAGCACATACGGTGGTTGCCCTGTCTACTTGTGCAGCAGATTTCGTTTGTATTTTCACATGTGGCTTTAAAAGAATTAAGAATGTTTCTTTCTTTTTAATTTTCTTTCTTTTTATTTTTCCACCATAACCATTTATCCCTATGCCCTCTGCCCCTCTCACCCCCCTCCACCCCTGTAATCACACTGTTTCTTGCTTTTTTATCTTTGATTTAAAATTTTTTTTTTTTAACCAATGGAGCTGCCGTTCTGGCTAAAGTTAGTGAAAAACAAGAAGGTACCCCACTAGGGCTGTAACATGAGAACATTGGTCAGACTTACCTGGAGAGACAAGATTAATGACAGCCTCAAAGTTTAAATCTAAACTGGTACAAGTGCCTACAGGCAGCCCTCCTGTGGTGCCCTAACACATAACTTTATGGCCATGGTCTAGTTTCCCTCCTTTATGTTTATTTTACATGTTCATGTAGAATGTAATCGTAGATGTAGGATTAGTATACAGCACTAGTGTGTTACTGGTGGAACATACTGCTCATGGATTCTTTGAGGACTGGCTTTCATCTTGTGTAATCCAGCTTTGTGGTTGTCTGTCACAGGTATTTCATGCACGGAGTTTGTAAGGAAGGAGAGAACTGTCGCTACTCACATGACCTCTCTGACAGTCCATATGGTGTAGCGTGCAAGTATTTCCAGCGAGGGTACTGCATCTACGGAGACCGCTGCAGGTGAGGATCTGTTTACCAGTCAGGTGTGTCCAGGTCAGGAGTAGATTGGGACAGGTTGGGAGAAAAAATGAGTAAAATGCATAATCCCAACAGCTTTATAATTTATAGATTTAAAGTGCTTTGAAATGGACTTCTTAGGAATGTTAGTGCACTGGCAGAAATCCCTTACCTGGGAGGAAAGTTATTACATTTTAGAAAATGAATTTGTAATACAGTTCTAAGTTTAGTTAACCTCTATTCATTGAATTGATACCATAATCCTGTTAACTTTCAATTCAATGATAGTGTGATCTGCTTCAGATTGGGTAGAGCTTTCCTTTCTATTCCCAGTTCAGAAAGTATCTAGGTGTATTAATATGTTATTTGTTGATGTTACATCCCCAAACTTAGGAGGTTAAAAACACCAGTTTCTGGGCTGTCTGCAGTGTGAGGGTGGCTTCACTGGGTGGTTCCAGCTCAGACTCAGATTTATAGTCAAGATTTTGGCCAGGGCCGCCATCATCTGAAGTCTTAATGGGCTGGAGGGTCACGGTTCAGATGACTGCTAGTGGGATTGTTGACTCCTCACCACGGGGCCTTTCCTAGAGCTCCTGGTGTGCACTCACACTGTCCTAGAGCAAGTGGTACAAGGGGGTGCAGGGACAAAGCCGCAAAGGCTTTTATGACCTAGTCTCAGAAGTCACACTCTTGCTTCCCCTGTGGTCTGTTTACTACCAGCAAGTTCCTAAGTCCAGTCCTCCTTTCAAGAGGAGCCAGGTTGGGCCCCGCCTTTTGGCCGGAGGAGTGTGGTAAGACAGTTTGGCAGTGTCATGGCTAATTTTAGTATCCTGTTAAAAGAGAATTGTGTCAGCTCTTGGGCTCAGGTGCTTAGAGTTCAGAAGACAGAAATTATTTATGGGTGAGATGTTAGCATCAGGTCATCCCACATTGTTTTGCTAGGAAATTGGTAAGAACAGAGAACAAGAAAAGGTCCTTCTTGCGTGGCTGCAGGAGCTTAGAAATGGAACTCCTGGTGTCGGGCTCAGTGGTCAGCAATTTGCGCTTTTTTTTCATTGTAATATTTTTGGAAAGGGGAAAATGGCATAGTGACACTCCTCAAAAAATCCCAGTATGCCCTTTTCAGTTTTTTTTTATAATAAGGATACAGCTCCCTCTCTGGGGAGTGATGTCGATTTCAGCTGGGTTTAGCCCTCATGATAAAGTGAAAGGAGTTTGGGAAACCTATGTACAGTGGCATCTCAGTTTTTGAGTATGATCCGTTCGGAAGCCCGTTCGAGTTCTGAAACATTGGAAAACCAAGGGATCCACAGCTGACAGCCGGCCTCAGGACCTTGCCCTCAGCGGAAGCTGGGGGGCATGTTCGACTTCCGAGGCGTGTTCGAAACCTGAAGTATTTCCTTCCTGTTTTACGGCGTTCGTAACCCGAAATATTCGTCCACGGAGAGGTTGGAAAACTGAGGTACCACTGTACTAGCTCTGCCTGAAAGGAAAGTTTGGTGACCATCGCCTGGGACAGGCTGATACACAGGTGATCATTACAAGATGGGTTATAGACTAGGTAAGGAGAGAATCTTGTGGTGGGCCTGGTTCTGTGACTACTGGTTTTTTTGTTTTGTGTGTGCGCGTGCAGGTTTTTGTTTGTTTGTTAAAACTATGCCTGGGGAGTTTAAATGTACATTTCATTCTTAGTCTTTAGGAATCTTTTTATACACCTTGGCCAGTGCCCAGGGATTTCAGGTAATTTGAGTCTATCCAGGGATAGTTTATAGTGAAGGACCACATCCTAGCTCTAGTTCCAGCAGTTCAGAAGCGGTCCCACCTTGGTGTGTTGTAGTGGTGGTGCGGTTACCGAATTACGCAGGTCATCATTGCCCAGGACCAGGACTGTGCACATTGCAGGGCAGCTGCATCCTTCGTCCTCACCCACTGAAGGCCACTAGAGCTCCTCCCAGTCACTGTTTCTGAACACTCCCCGATACGAAGCTTTATTTTGGGGTACTGACATTTGAATTTCATATAATTTCTTTGTGTGTCATCAAATGATCTTTTTTCAACCATTTAAAAATGTCGCCCAGCTGGCATGGCTCAGTGGTTGAGTATTGACCTATGATCCAGGAGATAGACACATGCCTGAGTTGTGGGCTCCATCCCCAGTAGGGGGCGTGCAGGAGGCAGCTGATCAATGACTCATCATTGATGTTTCGCTCGCTCTCCTTTCCTCTCTCTGAAATAAATAAGGACATAATAAAAAATAAAGTGTCACAACCATTCTTAGCTCTGGATTTGGCCTGAGGGCCTAGTTGGCCATCCTTGCTTGTAAGGTGGCCCATGCTTCAGTGAGCCACTTTTGAAATTACATTTATCTGGGTGACATTGGTTAATAACATAAGTTTCAACTGTACAATTTTATAATACATCCTCTATATTGTATTGTGTGCTCAACACCAGGCTAGCCTCCCCTGTCACCATCTATTTGACCCCTGAAACATTTTTAGTAAACATCTTTCAGAATTGTAGTCCTGCTTTTTCCCTCTTCTCACTTTGTCTTATTTGTACTTTATTTTTCCTGGTGCTTACAAATCTTCACTCAGAATACATTTTATATAGTCCCACACTGCACCAAGGGAATAACTGTGCCTAAATAGGCAGACATGTGTTCTTGAATGTCTTGATCTACATTTCAATACTGTATTTTCTCAATATAATCCCTTAGAATAAAGTTGGGTTTATTTGATATACATTTCTTTTCCAGAGGAACTCTTAATTTAAAAAGTTAGTTAAAAATAGGTTTTCATTTGATAGCAGGGACCTCTTTTATTCACATTTGACTCCTCAGTGGATGGTACGGTTCTTGATGGGGCCTGGCACATGGTTATTACCAGGTGTTGATAAAAAATCAACCCAGTATATTTACCTCCAATTTTAGTGTGTTCTTCTATATGCCCACAGAAAACTAGACTATTTGAAAGCAAGAAAGCTTATGTACAGATGTAGACTTTCTAGCTAATGGCTCTCTGCTTTCAAAACCTTAGCAAACCTTGTTGATTCCTTGGTAAATTGACCTTAAAACCAACATGCACTTCTTTCAGAAACGTTCTGTTATTTGCAATTTGATAACTAGATGGTGATGAGCATTCTAGTCCTGTCTGCTGAGGATCTGTTCAGTCCTTTGCCCTGAAGTCCTTAAAATGAACATGGCAGAGGGGAAGAAGAACCAAAGGTGGTGTCGTACCTGTTCCTTAGACTTTATTAAAAATTCTAATTTGGTTGATTTGAGAGAGAGAGAGAGGGAGGAAAAGGTTGATTGGTTGTCCCACATCTTTATGCATTTACTGGCTGATTCTTGTCTGTGCCCTGGCTGGGGTCCCGCCTGCAACCTTGGTGTATCGGGGTGATGCGCTAACCCTCTACCCAGCTGAGCTACCCAGCCAGGACTGTTTACACATCTTGACATTTAATTCCCAAAGCCCTGAAGCCTTTCTGTTTGCGAAGGGGGCATTTAAATTAAAGCCTGTCTTATTTGCAATGCTCAGGTTCTCTCCTAACTTACAGGCTGTGAAAATAATTAAAATACTTTTCTGCAATCCTTTTTCAAACCAGGGAATTACTTAGTTTGAAAAGTGAGGATTTGGGGCTAGATTTCCAAGGCTCCATGTAATTCTAAAATAAACTTCAGAGCAGTGCTTCCGATGGAAGTTGGTGTGATAGTGGAAACGAGCTCATTCTGCTGTCTAGTATGGTAACTACCATCTACGTGTAGCTCTCGCATACCTTGAAATGTGGCTAGTGCAAGGGCCAAGGGACTGAGTTTTAAATTTCATTTAAGAGTCAGTAGCTAGATTTGGCCAATGGCTGCTGTAATGTACAAAGCAGCTTTAGATTCACATTAGACCTGGGACACCACTTACTTGACAATTACACCTTCTGTGTCACCTTTAAAATGATGAGTACATCTTCACTCTTTTAGACTATGAAGTGAGACAGTAAAAGTGAAGCATATTAATGATAGCTCCTCCCCTCGGCCCTCATTTTGCACGATTCCAGGCTGTGGAATAAGTGCATCAGGTTTCTGTAGCTGAGTGCAGGATATTCAAATGACTTGTATTGCAAAGCAGGCTACCTACTGCTAGATAGGAATATGAAGATTTGAGATAATAGGGTAAAAACCAGCTCAGCAGTCCTTTATTGTAAGCTAAAGGACAGTTTTTAGTTAGGTCCTACTTTTGGAGATGTAACACATGACCTGTGGTTAGTATTGCCCAATTAGTTATGTAATTGCAAGAACTGCTACATACATACTGTAAGTTACGACAGTTTAGATTGACTGCATACATCATTCATTATGTCTGAATCTCTCAACATAAAATGCTCAAAGAATTGTGAGGATTTTCCCAGGTAGGAAGTTGCTTCTTGAAGGAAATAGTCTTTCCTTATAATTGGAGATGTGGTTTAATGATAATTTTATTTATTTTTTATTAATGATAATTTTAGAGATGAGAATCTGGTGGTACGAATTTGGAAAACTGAAGGTCATTAGGTGAATGGATATAGGAAAAGAAAACATTTTTATAATTTATAAATACCATTTTTAATAATGGGAGCATTTTAATTTGTATTGGTAAAATGTTCCACATTTATATGTGTTGAATTTGAGTGCCATCCTTGCTGTGGCCACACAGTCTCAAGTTTCCTGTCCCCTGGTCTGTGGCCTTGATCCTCAAGTGTGATCCCTGGACCAGCAGGGTGAGCATCATGTGAAGACAGAGTCCTGGGCTCTCCTCCAGACTTAGAAATTAGGAATCTGCCTTTTAACAGTTTCCCAGATGACTCCTATGCACAGTAGATTAGAAAGAAGCCAAGGACGGGTCAGGGAATATATTCCATCTACAGGGTTCTGGTTAGACAGTGACCGCTGACTTTAATTTTTTTTTTAATTTTTTTTTTTTAAGATACGAACATAGCAAACCATTGAAACAGGAAGAGGCAACTACTACAGATCCTACTGCAAAACCACCCCTTGCTGCTTCCTCAAGTCTCTCCTCTGTAGTTGGACTGATTGCTGAAATGAGTACGGGCGAGTCTGAGTCAAGAAATTCAAACTTTGCAGCTGTAGGAGCAGGTTCCGAAGACTGGGCAAACGCCATTGAGTTTGTTCCAGGACAGCCCTACTGTGGCCGTAGTGAGTATTTTGAAGAAAAAAAAGTCGTCGGAGGGCTAGATGGCAGCTCATCCCTTAGCTGAGTGTCCACAGCCCTCCGGTAGCCAGTCTTCACAGAAGCGTAATCTTAACAGTATAGATTGGATTACCCGAGACTTGCAGATAGAAAGAAACTTTGAATCCCAGTAGTATTGAATTTAGAATATTGAAACCCGAAGCCGCCTTTTATCAGTACATTTGCAGGAGAAACGCATAAGAAAGCTCCCCACCCCACGCCCTTTGCAAGCTTCATCCCAGAAATATCAGCATTAGATAGAGTTCATTTCTTCCCAGAGTAAGGAAATTAGTTCAGCAGACCATTCTGGAGTTTACTTGAAGTTCTTTTCAGTTGGGCTCTCAGTTTTTCTGCCATATCCATTTTGGACCTTTATCACCCTCTCGAACATTTTCAGCTGCCCCTTCTTGCACCGAAGCGCCCCTGCAGGGCTCAGTGACCAAGGAAGAGCCAGAGAAGGAGCCCACGGCAGTGGAGACCAAGAAGCAGCTCTGCCCCTATGCCGCGGTTGGCGAGTGCCGCTACGGAGAGAACTGCGTGTATCTCCACGGAGACGCCTGTGACATGTGCGGGCTGCAGGTCCTGCACCCAGTGGACGCTGCCCAGAGATCGCAGCACGTAAAGGTAAGTTTTTAGGGAGATACTATGCTAATAGGTGAGAGGCCTGTATTTTCCCTTTCACAACATTACCTTTCATTTCAGGGAAACGTTTGGTGAATTGAATGGTTATCAGTCAGTAGGGATATTTTCCTTCCTGGGCTTCTTGAATGAATGCTTTATCAAAAAATCAAGGGCCTCACACTAGGAGCCTTTTCTTTTTAAAAAATGTTTTAATTGATTTTTAGCAAGAGGGTAAGGGAGGGGTAAGACAGTGATGTGGGAGGGAATATCATATATCATACCGACCTGCCTCATGCTTGCCCCCTGCTGGCGATTGAGCCCGCAACCCAGGCATATGTCCTTATGGGAATCAACCGGCAACCTGTCCGTTGCCGTGCACTGAGTGATGCCCAACTGGGTCACACTGGCCAGGGCTAATTGTACACTTTAACCTAATGAATTACATCTCAATAAAGCTGTTTTTTTTTTTATGTGCCTGGCACAATTGTCACCTAATAAATACTGGTTTCATTCACCCTATTTTCTGACGGGTTATAAATTCAGGCCTTACTCCCAATTGCATTTTCCATCTAGAAACCAGAAAGTCAACAAACTTAGTATGAAAACTGTCTTTAATGAGGATGACAGCGGGGGTTGAGCTGCAGGATAAATAAAATTGGGTCAATTTTCAGTTCCTGAAGTTGAGTCCTCATCGTGTGACTTTCTAGTAATGTCAAGTCCCAAAATGTCAGTGCACCTGCCCTCGCTTGTGAACAAAGCTGCTTTTACTGTCGAACTGGGAACATTACCTCTTCAGTTGACTATTTGGTTCTCTGAACATGAGTCACTGTCCAGTTGAAGCCTTGCGTCCAATGACTTGGTTACACTTCTCTCTCCACTTTTTCCAGTCTTGCATTGAGGCCCATGAGAAGGACATGGAGCTCTCATTTGCGGTGCAGCGCAGTAAGGACAAAGTGTGTGGGATCTGCATGGAGGTGGTCTATGAGAAAGCCAACCCCAGCGAGCGCCGCTTCGGGATCCTCTCCAACTGCAACCACACCTACTGTCTCAAGTGTATTCGCAAGTGGAGGAGTGCTAAGCAATTTGAGAGCAAGATCATAAAGTGAGGCTCCTCCCCATCTCCGTTTGTGCTTTCTATTTTGGGGAAGAATTTAGTATCTTGTGCCAACTTTCAACCAGATGGACCGCATTTAAATGCATGCATTTTATCTTGAAATGGGGTGCTCTTCTAATTGGGATTTCTTTGTATTTCAGCTAGCTTCTAGGTTAGTTGGTATATCTATTTGAATGAGGAAACCCTGTGTATCAGTTAGTAGGATCTTCGTGCTTTTTCTGAGGAGATTGTGTTTAATGGATTAGCCCCTTTAGGCCCAGTGAACAAACGAGCTCTGAATGTATGTTTCCTGGCGTTTTACATTTTCCACTTTCTATTCCATCCATGAAGCTAGCCAATAATCTACCATCCTTTAAAGATTGTTCTCATAACTGAACAAAACGACATAACCTAAACAGAGCAAAGTTACAAGAAATAAATTTATTTAAACGAAAGAAAAAGGAGTCTGTGTGAAATGTCTTCTTTCATTTATTTTAACCTAAGTTCTACTTTTTAAATGACCTGGCTAGCCGTTGAGTTGAATTTATAAAGGAGTTTGTCCTGCTTCAGAGGAAACGGTCAGTTGTGTGGCAGTGTTGGGAGCCCTGCAGGAGATGCCCACTTGCCTCGGGTTAAGTCCTTAGGTCTGGAGGCGACACACCGGGGTGTGCCCTTGCAGGTGGGCCTGTGGGGAATGTGCACTGCAGCCTGTTCATTGTTTCCCAGGTCCTGCCCAGAATGCCGGATCACATCTAACTTTGTCATTCCCAGTGAGTACTGGGTGGAGGAGAAAGAAGAGAAGCAGAAACTCATTCAGAAATACAAGGAGGCGATGAGGTATGCGCGCCGCGGCCTTTCTGCAGGGCCCGGCCAGCCGGGCTCGCTTCGAAAGGAGCAGTGCTGCGTTATGTACTCCTACCTCCTTCCTGCCCTTTCTTTTACCCCGTAACGCCCATCGTGTGTCCTGCCACAACACAGGCCTGGGGTGCGAGCCCGGGACCGTGTTGTAATGACGTCCGTGCTGCTGGTAGCTCAAGCCCCGTGCCTGGGGTCCTGCCTCTTTCTGAGTCCACGTTATAGCCGCCCTGTGTTCGTGTGCGGGGCTTTCTAGGTTTCCTGGCTGTGGATCTGCTGCAGTAGAGCTGTTGAGCAGCGTAGACTTGAACAGTGTCTGTTTTAGCTGGTGTTTCATGCGTTAGCGCACACGTTTGAGCACACCTTGGGGCGGGCTGTAAATGGACGTGCCGGGTCCATCCCTGCCTGTTTAGAGAAACTGGGATGCTAGTCGCACCCAGACCTGAAATCCACTGTGAATAAGGGCTGCGATATTTTCCTTTCCAGCAACAAGGCGTGCAGGTATTTTGATGAAGGACGTGGGAGCTGCCCATTTGGAGGGAACTGTTTTTACAAGCATGCGTACCCTGATGGCCGTAGAGAGGAGCCACAGAGACAGAAAGTGGGAACATCAAGCAGATACCGGGTAACTCTCACTGTTTCTTTTAAAGAAGGGGAAATAGCACGATGTCAGTTGAGCCCTGCACAGATTGGGGTAGGGGAAGGAGAAGAAAACCGCTCAGTCTGGGAGCAAGACTAGAGCATCGAAGCAGGAAACCAACCTCAGGAAACTGGGAGGGCTGTGAAGGGAAGAGCTAGAAAGCCTAGAGCTCTAGCCTACACCTTGGCATCAGGTGACGAGGGGAGGAGCTGGTACCGTGGAACCCTGAGTGAGGTGGGCACGCCACGCCCTCTGGTGTGCTGGACGTTTCGCCTTAGAAAAGAGGCTAGAAGACCCCACTCGGCAGTGCCACCCCTATCACGGCCTTGTTTCTTACAGGCCCAACGAAGGAACCACTTCTGGGAGCTCATTGAGGAGAGAGAGAACAGCAACCCCTTTGACAACGACGAAGAGGAGGTTGTCACCTTTGAGCTGGGCGAGATGTTGCTTATGCTTTTGGCTGCAGGTGGGGACGAGGAGCTGACAGACTCTGAAGACGAGTGGGACTTTTTTCATGCTGAGCTGGAGGACTTTTATGACTTGGACCTATAGCAGCTTTGCGTGGCGGGTGACTGGTCTGCTGAGCCCAGACAGTGGCTGTCCCCTGCGGTGGTGTGGCAGTGCCCGTGTCTCCTAGGCAGGCCTAGCAACTCCAGGTGCTGTCGTAATACTTCTACCCAGGGCCTGTCTTCTCACTCCCTCCCCTTCCCCAAGGAGTATGTTGTTTTCTCTGGTTAAAAAGTTACAAAAATAAACCTTAAAGTTAGTTTTTTGTAACACAAATTTAACTGTCAGACAGTTAGCGTAGGTGTGTTGCGTCATCTGTTTTCAGCCAGATTCACACAGTTGGAGGGTGTCTTAGGGACCTGCGCACTCGTTCTGAGGACCCCGGTTCGGGAGGCGCAGCACCGGCCCTGCTGTGGGTCAGTAGGGGTGATGGGTGAAGGATCTGAACCGTGGCAGTCGCCTCGGGCTACAGACTTGAGGCGGACACTTGAGGTTCCCGGTGAAAGCTGCACATCTGTGTTTTTATCTGTTCCCTACCCTGCAGTCCCCACCCCGCGCACCTGTTCTGTGGTTTTGGTCTCTTGTTTAATTGCACACAAGTAATAACTACTGGGTAACCATAAGCAGGTGCGAATGTGTTGAGATTTTTACTGTGTTTAGTGTGATAGGAAAATTCTGAAAGAACACATATAAAGGATATACTGGCGTAAAAGAAATGCAGACTTGAGGTTGACTCCCAAGAGCTGATCGACTTGGCATGTGTGAGCGTGAGTTGCGAGTGTGTGGTGAGCCTCTCATCCCTGCATAGACGCAGTGTTCCTAGCCTTAGTGGAAAACCTTGGTCTAGTGTTTCGGCCTAGCGTGGCACATAGATCTTCCAGGACAAAGCAGTATGTCGGTAGCTGTTACTAGAGCAGTGCTAGCTTTGTCTCTATAAATAAATGGGCTTAGCCATAGAGGTTAAAACTATCTGGTTATCCCATATATGAACACAAACTGGGCCTTGGATACACGGTTGTATTTAATGCTTACTGATCTCTTACCCTCTCCAGTTCAGGCACCTTTCTGCAAACCCTCCTCGTTTGAGGGGTTCTGTTGTCGGGTTTTGTGTTTGTTTTTGTGGGTATTTGCCTCATTCCATCCCTGTGCTTTGCAGGTAGCCAGACGTGATTCAAAACTGTGTTCTAAGGTGTTTCTTGTAGTGGAGTCATTGGTTTGCAGTAATAAGTTATGCTTTCCCACTAAAGGGGGGGGGG